GCATGAAGGGCATGGAGTTGCTCTGATACTGCCGTTCGTGCGAATGGCAGCGGCGATGGCATCAGACGGCGATCAGGATTCATGATCCCGTTGCTTCACTGTGGCACGTCGTGCTGCTCCAGCGCAACTCCGGTCTCTTCCGCAACGCTAGCGGGCCTCCGTCGCCGCCACCGGCCAGTGTCGGGCGACCAAGGCCAAGATGCCCAGGGCGGGGTTCCCGCATAGATGCATAGGGCGGGGTTCCCGCATAGACCCAGAAACGCTACGAACCACAGAGGGGGGAGAAGGCGAGGGCGTGAGTCGGAGGCAGGGTAATTCGAGGGAGAGAAGGGAGAAAAGGAGGAGGAGGAGGAGAAGGAGGAGGGGGAAGAGGAGAAAGAGGTGGCAAGCCGCGCATTGGCTACTCGGAGTTCGTCGGACACTTCGAAGACGCCTGCATGTTGAGAAAGATCTGGAGGCGCATCGATGCGGACGGCAGCAACGAGATCTCCAAGCTGGAAGTCATCGCCGCCGTCAACAAGGAGAGGCGTGAGACATGATCCATGGCTGCTCCCCCCGTGTGCTAATGGGATTAGGCCGCCCCCCCCGCGCTGGATAGGTAAGCTCGTGAGCCACGCGAAGGCCTCGCGAAGCGAAAGGGATCGCCTCCCCCCTGTGGTCGTGGGCCTGTGAGCATGGCGTGGTGGAGGGTGAACGTTCCGCTAATTTCGCAGAGAGCTTTCCGAGAGACTAGGGTCTCAGGGCCTCGCGAATGGGATCGCCCCCCCCCCACCCCCCCTCCCTCCTGTGGTCGTGGTCCTGTGAACGTGGCGTGGTGGTGGGTGCCCGTGTTCCCCCCCTCACCCTGTGGGTGTGGGGTGGTCGGTCGTCGTCGTCGTCGTCGTCGTCGCCCACCCCATCCCATCTGGGGGGGGGTCTGTGAAACCCTGGGACCCATCCTATCGGGGGGGAGGGGGCTGTGAACCCTCGACCCAGGATCATATCCCATGCAGTGGGGCGTCCCTTTTCCTCCTCCTCCGCCTCCTCCTTCTCCTCCTTCATGTTCCTCCTTCCCGTCCGCCCCCTGTAGGAATAAGGAATAAGGTTGGGTGAGGAGGGGGAGGGGGAAAGGGAGGAGGCCGATAGGAAGGAGGCAAGCTAGGTGCGCTCGCGCCATATCTGCTCTCCTACCCTCCCATCCATCCCTTCCCGTTGCGCTGATTTTTCTCTATCCGCCGCTGGGTGTCATAGCGGGTCTGGGACCCCCCAGTTAGACAGGAGAGTTGTGCACGTTGGAGGAGGAGGAGGAGGTGGCGGATGAGCAGGAGGAGGAGGAGAAGGAGGAGGAGGAGGAGGATGAGGAGGAGGAGGAGGAGGGAGGAGGGATGAGGGATGAGGAGGAGCAGGAGGAGGAGGAGGAGGAAGAGGAGGAGGAGCAGGAGGAGGAGGAGGAGGAGGAGGAAGAAGAGGAGGAAGAGGAGGAGGAGGAGGCGGAGGAGGAGGAGGAGGAGGAGGAGGGAGGAGGACCAGGACGTGGAGGAGCAGCAGCTGCAGGAGCAGGCACGGGAGGAGCAGGAGGACCAGGGGAGGACGGAGCAGGGAAAATGACAGGGGCGACAGCGACGGGGAAGGACTCGGAGCCAGAAAAGTGACCCGCGCTGGGCGAGAGCGCCATTCTGAATTCAGGCGATCGCAAACATGGATCAAGGGGGCGTGGATTAGCGGGTTCTGTTTCCAAGGGAAATCGCGGATTTCCGCCGCCGAACGAGGCGGCACCGGCGGCATTTTGGGGAGGGCACCTCCCCGGATCCATGGATTTGGCGACCGCGCGCAAAATCCATGGTTCGCTAGTCCATGTTTGCGCGCCCCCCAATGAACGACGGGAGCAAAGCGCCGATCCTAAATCAAGCCCGGGCTGCAGCGGCAGCCACATTTTGAAACACCGGGAACGTTCCACTTGAAACAGCCCTAGGAAAGGAGGGGAAGGAGGCGGAAAGAGGGGAGGGGGATAGGACTGCCTCACAGGTGAACTCCTCGCCCGCCCCCCCTCCTCCCCAGGACCCAGAGGTGGCCGCACTGCTCCTCCCCGGTGTCTCGGTGGCCAGCCGCGAGCTGGATCTCGGAGCCGTGGACGCGGCGTTCAACGACATGTCAGGTGGCAGCGGGAGGAAGGAGGAGGAGGAGGGGGAGGGGGAGGGGGAGAAGGAGGAGGAGGAGGAGGAGCAGGAGGAGCAGTAGGAGCAGGAGGTTGCTTGGTGCTCTTGTCTGTTGAGCGGTATTCCTGTGGCCTGGGCGAGCTGGGGGAGGGGATCGGGTGATCGGGTGCCACATGGCAGGTGGTTCTAGGGAGGTCTGGGACTGTTCGCTCGCCAGCCGTGTTACCGTCTTGTCTCGTCTTCCTGTCGCCTCCTCTCTCGATTCTTGTCCTCCCGCCTTGTCGTTTCTGCGCTTCGGGGTCGTCGTTGCTTCGCGATCGACCTCGTCATTCTTCCTTTCCTCCCCCCTCTTCCTGCTCACGGTACAATACGTAGCGCATACTCAGACTGCAATCAACAACATGTTCCCTAATCGATTCGGAACATGATGCGTCTGTGATGCTGCAACCAAAAAGTCCAGCTCCAGAACAAGGAAATGTAAAGACGCCGCAAGCTATAGGTCGGCGCTGAAAACACACGTGCCAAGCTCGAGGAGCTCACAGTGTTCAGCGTTGGTGTGGTTATCATCCACGGGGCCTGACCTGCCGGGGCCAGTAGCATTGCTCGGCGCTTTGTTTTGTTATCTTTTCTCCACCTCCCTCCCCCTCGCCTTCGCTCGTACTCGCGAGGGCTTCTGTGCGGGCGCCGTCTAGACAGGTCGGTTTACGCAAGCGCGAGTTTTTCTGGGTATCGTCCGTCCCTCGTCCTCTCCTCCTTTTCCTCCTCCTCCTCCTCCTGTTTTTTTTGTTTTTGATTTTTGTTTCTCGGCGCTGCGTGTTGGGGATACTGTGGCTCATCGCCTTCGTGGTGCTCTTCTTCCTCCTGGGCGTCGACCTGGTCAAGTGGCGCGTCTTCCCCTGCAGTGCTTGAGGCTGGTGTTCGCGAAGTGCCGTTGACGGCAACACCATTTCCTTCGCATTCCGGGTCTTCGCCCTCGGTCCCTGTCCATGGCGTACCTTTTCCTGCACATCCACTTCGGCCCCGCCTGTTCCCCGGGCCCCGCCCGCTCCTGCCGCCTGAGGCCCCGCCTTCCTGTGCCCGTTCTCCCTAACTAAAGTTGTGCGCAGCCCGCCTAGCTTTTAGCGGAAGAGGTTCGCTCTCGCCCCGCAGATCAAAAAAAGTGTTGGGGATACTGTTGGCCTTTCGGGCTGCGGGGGGATCCATACGCATGCAGAACAACTGCGTTGCTGCGTTGCCGAGTTGCTGCCCAGGCCACGGTCCACAGCACGAGGCTGACTGCTGCAGGTCGGCTTGTGCGGTGCTCCCGGTTTGCGTAGCGATGCCGTGAATCGCGGTGAGGTAGGGTAACCAACAATGTGTTTACGAGGAAGACAAATCAAACAAACAGACAAAAATATCTTGGCGAAGGACCAACCATATGCAGCTGTGTGTAACGCAGTTGTGGGTATCGTCCTCGGTGAACCTCCCTCTGGGCCGACGACGACTGTGACGGGTGCGCCAAAATTGGCACGGGTACGCCACGCGGACGCTGCCACCGGAGCCGTCGGTGCAGCCCCATGTGAGGCCACGAAACGTGTGAGGGGTGCGCCGACATGCAAGGTGGAACCACGTGCGGGCGCTGCCAGTAGGGCCTTTGGGGGTCACGAAACGTGGAAGGGGTCCGCCGACATGAACGGTGGAACTGCATGCGGGCCCTGCCACTGGGGCCCTGGGTGGTACACTCTATGGGGCCACCAAACGTGTGAGGGGTGTGCCGAAATGGGGGTGGAACTGCATGCGGACCCTGCCACTGGGGCCTTGGGTGGAGCACCCTATGGGGCCACGGAACGTGTGAGGTGTGCGCCGAAATTGAGGGGTGGAACTGCATGCGGACCCTGCCACTGGGGCCTTCGGCGGAGGACCCTACTGGGCCACGAAAATTTTAAGGGTTGCGCCGAAATGGGGGTGGAACTGCATGCGGACCTTGCCACGGGGGCCTTCGGCGGAGCACCCTATGGGGCCACGAAAAGTGTGAGGGGTGCGACGAATTTGGGGTTGAACTGCATGCGCACCTTGCCACAGGGGCCTTCGGCGGAGCACCTCATGGGGCCACGAAAAGTGTGAGGGGTGCGCCGAAATGGAGGTGGAACTGCATGCGGACCCTGCCACTGGGGCCCTGGGTGGAGCACCCTATGGGGGCCACGGAACGTGTGAGGGGTGCGCCGAAATGGAGGTGGAACTGCATGCAGACCCTGCCACTGGGGCTTTCGGCGGAGCCCCCATATATGGCCACCAAACGTGTGAGTGGTGTGCCGAAATGGGGGTGGAACTGCATGCGGACCCTGCCACTGGGGCCTTGGGTGGAGCACCCTGTGGGGGCCACGAAACGTGTGAGGTGTGCGCCGAAATTGAGGGGTGGAACTGCATGCAGGCCCTGCCACTGGGGCCTTCGGCGGAGCACCCTATGGGGCCACGAAACGTGTGACGGGTGGACCAAAACCCCACCAGCCTTTTAAGGCGTAAGGTGTTTTAGGGATCGTCCTCTTCCACCGCTCCCTCTTCCCTTTCGGGGAGGGGTTTACCCCTCCCCATACCCCCTCCCCTGGACCTGGACGATGGGTTTCGCGGGCAGTTGGAGCGTCCAAAACGGCCTCGGCACGGAAGCCACAATCATTTGGTTTATTAATGTTGTGGCCCCATTTGGGCTTCCTGGGGGGGGCTAATTCGGGAACGCCCCTTCTTTGATCGATCTCCTACGAGATGGCCCCAAGAGCGCTCCCAAGGCTCCCAAGGGTGCCCCAAGAGGGCTCCAAGAGGTGGCGAGGAGGCCCCAAGAGGCCCCCAAGAGGCCCCCGGGATGCCCCCTGGCGGTCTTGCTGTCTCTCTGCCTTCTTGCTGTTTTGGTCTCTTCGCCGTCACACGAAAGGGTGGGCCTGGCCACCACTTTGCACTGCTCGGGACAGGGGTCACGACCACCTTCTCTAGGCGTGCTTGGTGGAGTCATCGTCCCATCAGTTGGGAAGCTGGCAGTTGTCATCATCACTTGTCTTCTTTAGGGAGAGAGAAAAAAAGAGGCCCCCAGGATGCCCCCAAGAGGCTCCCAAGAGACCTCCAAGAGGCCTCGGCGAGAATGCCAACATCACTGATTGTACTGAGGTTTTGGCCACATGTTGGCCTCCTGGGGGGGCACTGAGTAAGATGACTCCAAGATCGCCTGGCAGAGCCCAAGATGACCTCCCGAATGGCTCAAGATACCCCAAGATGCCTCAAGATGGCTACCACGATGCTCCAAGACCGCTCCAATAGGGCTCCAAGTGGCCAAAGAGCTCCACCAGGAGGCCCCGAAGATGCCAACATCTTTCCAACACCTCAAGGAAATCAATGTTTTCGCTTTCTCGAATTTTCGCTTCCGATGGCCATCCGAGGCCTCAAGATGGCTCTAAGATGGCCCAAGAGGGCTCCAAGAGAGGCTCAAGAGAGCCCCAAGACGGCCCCAAGAGCGCCCAAGAGCGCTCCAAGAGCGCCCCCAGAGCGCCCCAAGAGGCAATGTTTTGGGCTCCCGAGGGGCAACGCTAATGTGTGCTCCCCTCTTGTTTGATCGATGTCCTCCAAGATGGCCCCAAGAGCGCTCCCGAAGGCGCTTCAAGTGGGCCCCAAGAGGCGCCCAGGAGGCCCCAACAGGCGCCCAATAGGCCTCCAAGAAGCTCCCAAGAGACCCCCATGGGACCCCACGAAGCTCTCCGAGGAAGAGGCGTCTGGGACCGCCAAGAGGCCCCCAAGACGCTCCAAAGTGCCTCCACTGGGGGACCCTTCTTCCTCTGTATGCTGTCCACTTCCCTGATCGAGGCAATTCCTCTGGGCATCGTTTCTGGATGGGCTGGTGCGGGCTACTTTTTTGTTCGCGAGCGCATACGGAAGGGCCGCGCGCCGTCCAGAGCTACAGCTAACAAGCCGGAGCCTAAATTGCACCGAGGGAGAGGAAAAGAGAGACAACAAGAGAGAAGAACAAGAGAACAGCTGGAGGTGAGGCCTGTGGGGTTACTTTTTTTGTTCGGCGGCCCGCAAGGAAAAGTCCAGAGGGCGTGTCAAAAGGCAATGGGGCGCAATGCCAGATAATTCGAGAAGGCCAGGCCACGACTGGAGGAAGCCGCCAAGAGGGCGCCAACCCACGCACGTGCAACATGCAGAACAGGGCAGCAAGCCAGCGTGACCGATTGTCCTAACAACAGCCGGCCGGACCAGCAAGAGCATACACTGCTCAGGACGAATTCGGCAGGAAGAAGAGGCGCAATGCCAGATAATTAGGGAGGGCCAGGCCACGAACAGTAGAGGCCGCCAAGAGGGCGCCAACCCAAGCACGTGCAACATGCAGAGCAGGACGACCTGTGGGGTTACGCGAAACGTCTAGAATTGAGGTGGAACTGCATGCGGACCCTGCCACTGGGGCCTTCGGCGGAGCACCCTATGGGGCCACGAAACGTGCGAGTAATGCGTCGAAATAGGGGTGGAACTGCATGCGGACCCTGCTAGTGGGGCCTTGGGTGGAGCACCCTATGGGGCCGCAGAACGCGCGATTGGTGCGCCGAAATGGGGGTGGAACTGCATGCGGACCCTGCCACGGGGGCTTTCGGCGGAGCACCCTATGGGGCCACGAGACGTGTGAGGGGTGCGCCGAAATTCAGGTGGAACTGCATGCGGACCCTGCCACTGGGGCCTTCGGCGGAGCACCCTATGGGACCACGAGACGTGTGAGGGGTGTGCCGAAATGGAGGGTGGAACTGCATGCGGACCCTGCCACTGGGGCCTTCGGTGGAGCACCCTATGGGGCCACGAAACGTGCGAGGGGTGCGCCGAAATTCAGGTGGAACTGCATGCGGACCCTGCCACTGGGGCCTTCGGTGGAGCTCCCTATGGGGCTACGAAACGTTGTACTGGTAGGGAGGAGGGAAGAGGGGGAGGAGGGAGGGGGCAGCGGGAGGAGAAGTGAACGCGGGGCGCTGTCTCTTCAAAACGAGGACCCAACACCACAGGATGGCTGGGAAAAACAACACGGTGCGAAGACAACCCAACGACAACCAGATTTGGGGGAGCCGCCCTCCGGCCGCGCAGCTGGTGGGACATCCGATGTTTCGGCATTACGGGCCTGTAGTGGGTTGGCAGGTTGCCACCAGTACCGAAAAGACATCGCCTTCCTTCCTTATCTTTATCCTTATGTCGTCCTCGCTCCCTCTCCTCATCCTCCTTCTCCTCCTCCTCCTCCTTGAATCCCCTCCCCTCCCTCAGCTTCCTACGCATCCCTCCTTGCCCTCCTCATACCCCTCTTCCTTCCGCCCTCAAGGAAACCGTCTTCCTTCCACATGACGGCTTGACATTTCGCAAACGGTCGGACCAAGCTGCAAGGTCGAGGTCGGTTCGGGAAGGGTGCCCTGATGTTCTTCGGGCCTGTTGGATGTTCTTGTGCATGCTAGGGGAGGGTGCCCTCGAGTGTCCTTCGGCTTGGCCGGCGGAGGATCTCGTGTTCTTGCAGGATGGTCTCCTGCCCCAGGTCCGACCGCATACGGGGTCACAGATCGCGAGAGAAGGCCAAACGGGCCACTGCCCCGGTAAAACAGCGGGCCTTCCGACGTGCAGATGTTGTCGTTGCACACTTTTCGCGCTCTTCGGGGTCACATGCGATGCGTGGAGGCCTCAAGCGAAATGCCCCAGCACAGCCCAGCCAGCTCCCCCGTTAGGCGTCGCGCAATGGGGGGGCGACAGATTGGGGGGGCAGCAAGCGCTGCAGAAAACGGGCCCTTCAGGGCCCCTAAAGGGGCCCTTTAGGGCCCAAGAGGGTGCTTTGGGGGTCCGAAACGTGCACCAGTCTTCCCTCCCCATGTATCGCCCCCCATTGAGCGACGCCCACCCCTGGCGGTGCGAGAAGAGATGATTGCACAAGGAAGCGGGTGGCCGAGGAGAGGGGAAGCGAAGGAAGTAGACGGAGGGCAAGAGGAAAAAGGCATGGCACGGTGCGGGTTTACTTTGAGGGCGGGAGGAAGAGGGGTAGGAGGTAGGAGGAGGGCAAGGAGGGATGCGTAGGAAGTTAATGGAGGGGGAGCCAGGGGGAGGAGGAGGAGCATGAGAAGGAGGAGGAGGAGGAGGAGAAGGAGGAGGAGGAGGAGGAGGAGAGGGAGCGAGGACGACATGAGGATCAAGAGGAGGACTGGACAGGGAGTAAAAGGCGGCAAGAACCGCGTCGACTACTCGGAGTTCGTCGGCCACCTCCGCGACGCTTGCGCGCTGAGGCACATCTGGAGGCGCATCGATGCCGACGGCAGCAACGAGATCTCCAAGCTGGAGTTCATCGCCGCCATCCATAAGGAGAGGGGTGGTGCATCCATCCGTGCAGTGGAGTGGTCTCTTCCCCCGCCTCCTCCTCCTCCTCCTCCTCCTCCTCCTCCTCCTCCTCCTCCTCCTCCTCCTCCCCACCTTCGAAGAGGGGGAAGAGGGGGGGAGGGGAGGAGGCCGCGAGTATCGGAAGGAGGGGGAGGAGGAGGAGGAGGAGGAGGAGGAGGAGGAGGAGGAGGAATATAAGGAAAGTGGTGGGTCTTTTCACCACGTGGTCTCCTCGTGCTAGGAGCCAGAGGTGGCCGAGATTCTCCTCCCTGGCGTCGATACTGGGTCGGCGCTCAGCCGCGAGCTCAATTTCGAGGCCGTCGACGCGGCATTCGACGACATCGCAGGCCAAAGGGAGGGATGGAGGAGAGATCGAGACGCTGCGTTTGGGCAAGGTTCATTGAGGTCCAGTGGGTGGGCGATAGGGGGGGGGATTCCAAGGGGTTCCAGAAGGAGGGTGGCGGTGACGACGAAGAAGGCGAGGCAGAAGGAGAGGCAGAAGGAGGATGGAGAAGAAGGAGGAGGAGGAGGAGAAGGAGGACGAAGGAGAAGCACGAAGTGGGTAGAGGAGAAAGAGATGGAGGAAGAGGAGGAGGAGGAGGAAGAAGAAAAAGAAGTAGGAGGGGGAAGAAGCGGGAGGGTGATGAGAAGAGGGAGGAGGAAGGGGTTGTCGGAGGAATGAACAGGGGATGGAGGAGAAGGAAGAGGTGGTGGAGGACTGACAGGAGGGGAGGAGCGAGGAGGGACGAGGAGCACAAGGTGAGAGATGAAGGATAGCGTGGGAGATGGAGGGCAGGAGGAAGAGGCAGAGTAATAGGAGGGAGGGGAGAAAGAGGAGGAGGAGGAGGCGGCGGAGGAGGAGGAGGAGGAGGAGGGGGGGGAAGAGAAAGAGGCGGCAAGCCGCGCGTTGGCTACGCAGAGTTTGTCGACCACTTCCGCGACGCTTGCATGCTGAGAAATCTTTGGAGACGCATCGATACGGATGCCAGCAACGAGATCTCCAAGCTAGAGCTCATCGCCGCCGTCAACAAGGAGAGGGGTTCGATCTATATGTGTACATATACACATATATATATATATGCATATATGATAATGTATGTGATGGGTTCTAGATCATACACTCTAAACACACAAAACATATGTTCAGATATGTATAGCCATCCTGGGCTATATATTGTTACAGGGCCCCCCCGAACGAATTTCGGACTCCCCGGGCTGCTCGCCCCTCCGGGCTGCTCGGACGCCCTTGCAAAGCGTTCCTTCGGCCTTCCGGCCTTCTCGGAGGGTCCAAAGAGGCTTCTAAGATTGCCCAAGATAGCTCGTCGACAGCTCCAAAACACACCAAACCGCCCAATGAGCTTCTAAAACGCACCCACACACGTTCATGAGGCCTCCGGATTGAGCCCCACATAGTTCAAAATCGTCCAGATCTGCTCAGATTTTGAAGGATTTCGGCGTCCTCGCATTCTCGCGCTTCCACGCTCCAAGACGGTCCAAGAAATTCCACAAACCGC